GTTAAATCTCAGCTGCTCAACATTTTCAGTTATTTCCTGTTGTATAGCCTCTTCTCAAAATGCAAATGATCTGTTAACTATATTTTCAAAGAATAGTTTGTTTTGTTGTTGTTTGGTTGGTGTCTTATATGAAACTGCGACATTGCGCAATTTATTGGACAGACTTGTTTAAGATCACACAGCGTAATTTGGGTGGCATTTTATTTTGTATTTTTAAATCATCTTTTTGTTTTTGACTATCTGTAAATTTAGTTTCCTGCTCTTAATTGTGAATGCATACTTGATGGTTTTAAATGCTCCTGAAATTAAGTGCTGCTTGACAAGCCTATACAGTATTGTGTTCATGTATGTGACGTCACTGAAGGCCTAAGGTTGAAATGCACGGCCCGCCACTGGGCGATCCATAGTGTGTCTTGGGTTGAACTATTCGCCTATTAGTCAGTGCAGCAAGCACCATCCGTATTGGCAGAAATATGTGCCACTAGAAACTGGATCTGAATAATTTACATTTTAATTTGAATTGTTACATTTGAATAAGTGCATTGAACAACTGAATCTAAATTACTTTATTTGAATTTCCATTATTTACTTTGAAAAATGAAACACCATACTGCACAAGTTGAATTCCTCATGGAAAATTCCATTTTGTCTGTTTTTTTTAACTCCATTTTAAAAATACAAATTCCAGTCTTTTCCACACAGATTCAGTTCACTTGACTTTTCTTATTCAGTTTTACAAGTAAAAAAACAAAACAAAACAAAACAAAATCACGCTCGCCACTCCAAAGTGAAAGCCATTCAACTTTAGCTACATTCTTTATACACGCCATGGTCTACCTTATGCCGAGAAACCCTTGCAGCCATTGATCATGAGCAAGTGCTGTTTCAATTCCCATTATACCGTCACGAGCGAGAACTCACATAAACCTAACAGTAGTCCCACTTTTGTTCAACCCAAGTTTCAAACATTTCAAACAACAGATCAGGCCTCCTCTGTGACACGTTGAACTTTAGTGAGAGTAATGCTGACAATAAACCAGAGCAGATGACAGCCTGTTTTGAACCTGTTATGCTCAGTCCACTGTAGAGCAAGTAATTCCAATGCAAACCCGCTAATTCATCATAAATCTTGAAATCTGGGATGGCATATGCAAATTCTGTGTGTACCACTTTAGAACCACCTCCGAGATGTTTCTGAAAACTGATTGGCACCAAAAAATTCTGATGGAAAAGCGAACATCCGGGACCAATTGATGCCATCTCGGTATGGAGCAGGGTGAATGGAAGAGCACCTTTTTTTGTTGTTTGGTTATTCAGAGTGCACCAATAATTACACCTGGGACGAGGTATTCCGACTGGGGACCAGGTGCACCAGTGCTGGCTGCGTTCGGAAACTAATGAGAGTGGAGTGCACTCTTTCTCCCCGATGACACCCGCTCTCAGAGTAGTACCTGGGAGTGAATTTCAGAATGCACCTTTCAATTTTTTAGCTTGAAGTCCATCTCAGCAATGGATCACGTTGAAAGAATAAGAATATCCATCCATTCATTTTCTAATGCGCTTATCCTCATAAGGATCGCCGGCGGGCTGGAGCCTATCCCAGCAGTCTGCAGGGTACACTCTGAATTGGTTGCCAACTAATTGCAGGGCACACATAGTTAATCAACAATTCTCGCTCATAATCGTCCATACAGGGACAATTTAGAGCAGGGGTGCCTAAACTTTTTGGACCGAAGATCGACTTTTGGATCATCCAACCTCCCGCGATCGTCCCATTACCGCGCCTGCGCACATCCACACGCACGCCGTGATGAGCAACAACAGCCTGACACGGAGGCATGCAACGCACTTTTGCAGCCTGTTAACTACCGTAGCTCACGCGTTCCGTTTTAAAATGCTTCTCTCGGCCCTCCAGATTCCCATTCTTTGCCCGTGCCCTCGGTGAATTGTACATGAAACAAACTATGAATGAGAATAATGATAACAATAAAAGATGTAGCGCAACAGCTCTGATCACAAGCTGCAATTGCAGACTGCTGAGCGCTAAACAACTTCTGGTGACACATGCCACCGTAGGTAAAAGATTTACCTACTTTATTTTAGTTTTTAAATACTTTTTGTGAAAATGAGACTGATAGGATGATTAGGGTGCAGTGTACATGAACACAAAAAATATAAATTACTAACATGCACAAAGAAACACAAATGGTTGTCTTTTTTCTCCTCTACACCCCTCGCGGACGACTTGGGACCAGTCCGCGATCTAACGGTCGATCGCGATCGACGTAATGGGCAGCCCTGATTTAGAGTGTTCCATTAACCTGCGATGCACGTTTTTGGAATGTGGGAGGAAACCAGAGTTCCCAGAGAAAATCCACGCAGTTGGGAAAAAAATGCAAATTCCACACAGAAAGGCCAGAGCCAGATTCCAACAATGCACCTATGCACTATGAGGTGGGCATGCAAACCAGTCGACCACTGTACCGCCCAGAAGACGAACAATTAAACAAAAGTCTCCTGTTCTTCCAGCGGGGTAAAATGGGAAGAGGGTGATTGGAAAAAAATGAGTCCGGTCCAACTCCTGAGCACCAACCGCAACTTGTAACTGCGGAGGCTTCAAAATATGAATGTTGTTTGTGACTCTGCACCAAACAGCAGCTCATACTTATTTTCCCATACTTATTCGTCATGTCCTTGTTATGATGATATTAATGCAGCGTGTTATACTGGAGACAAATTCCTTGTGTGTTCTACATACTTGGCCAATAAAGATGATTCTGATTCTGATTCTGATCTGATTCTGAGTACCCACAATTTTTGAAGTCCTTGGAGGATGTGCTGGAGAGCGCTCCCGCTGGTGACTCCCTTGTTTTGCTTGGGGACTTCAATGCTCACGTGAGCAATGACAGTGAAACCAGGAAAGGGAATGATTGGGAGGAATGGCCCCCCCTGATCGGAACTCAAGTGGTGTTTTGTTGTTAGACTTCTGTGCTCATTGTCATGTTTCGGTTTGTGACCAACAGGTGGCACTGTAGGGCTCCCCCCTGCAGCTGCACACCTGTTGGTTGTTATGTAATTAGTTGTATAAAAAGACTCCCGCCTGACCACTCCTTGTCGGTCATTGTTGCTGTTGATTTGCTACTGTCATGTTTGTTCCGGTCATGTTTCGGTCATGATTAGTTTTTGCTGCAGTCATGGTTTTGTTTGCTACTTTGGATTGTTTTTGTTTTCAGGACTTTGTTTGTTTAGGATTTATTTTTCTCTGTGTTTTAATACAATCTGTCAAGGACACCCTGGTCCTCCCTTTTGCCTGCTTTTTGGGGTCCAGCACCACCTGGCAAGGTCACACTCATCATGGATTGTCTATAACGAACACCCATGTTCAAACATAAGGGTGTCCATATGTGGACTTGGCACCAGACACCCTTGGCTGCAGTTCAATGATTGACTTTGTGGTTGTATCGTCGGATTCGCGACCTCATAATTTGGATACTCGGGTGAAGAGAAGGGTGGAGCTGTCAAGTGATCACCACCTCGTGGTGAGTTGGCTCCAATGATGGGGGAAGATGCCGGTCCGACCTGGCAGACCCAAACGTATTATGAGGGTTTATTGGGAGGATCTGGCAGAATCCCCTGTCAGAAGAAGTTTCAACTCCCACCACCGGCAGGGCTTTTCCCACGTCCTCGTGGCGGCGGGGGATGTTGAGTCTAAGTTCTGCGCATCTATTGTTGAGGCGGCTAATCGGAGTTGTGGCCGTAAGGTGGTTGGTGCCTGTCGTGGCAGCAAACCCCGAACTCTCGGGTGGACACTGGCACTAAGGGATTCCGTCAAGCTAAAGGAGTCCTATCAGGCCTTTATGGCCTGTGTTACTTCAGAGGCAGCTGATGGTGACCGGCTGGCCAAGCAGAATGCAGCTTCAGCAGTCGCCGAGGCAAAGACTCGGGCATGGGAAGAGTTTGGTGAGGCCATGGAAGCCGACTTCCGGACGGCTTCAAGGAAATTCTGGTCCACCATCCGACGTCTCAGGAGGGCAAACAGTTCACCATTAAACTGAAGCGCTGGAAGAAGTGGCTAGGGAGAGGGAAGTCTGGGATTCCCTGCTAAAGCTGTTGTCGTTGCGACCTGATACCGGATAAGCGAAAATGGATGACTGGATGGATGGATGGATGAATGAAAACGCCGATGTGATGCGAGCATACAATTTAGACATTTCTGTCACATTGAGCAGTAGGCATGGAAAGGGATACAAAGACATTATCAATTACCGCAGTTGAGCGGGAGATTTCAAATCTCTTCCTCAACTCAACTGTATTTAGAGAGCACTTTCAAACAGCCATCGCTGCATACAAAGTGCTGTACATGGAACAACTAACATATACAACAGTATAGCAACAAATCGGTAACAAGGACGGTAGAAAGCACCGAACAGCAAAACCAAGAACAAATCTGAATCATGCTGAGTCAAATGCCAAAGAATACAAGTGAGTTTTGTCCCTCAGGCAAATTCAGTCCTTTATTACTTAAATAAACATCACTTTCGTGCACCACTACGGTGTATTGTACTTTTATTTCAAAAACGAGAGCAACTCTCAAGTAAGTGAAGTCATGAAAAGCGATTCTTTTCTCAGCCCCACAAGACATGTCAGCCTTCTCCAATTTGACCCCGGGAGAGGAAAAAAATCCTGGCGCCGTGCTTGATCCGTATTGATGGAAAAAAGGGTGGTAAAACTGTTCTACTGTATTTTATTTGTCATTATGTGTTTACAAAGTGTCGTCTTAGAAAGGATATTACACCATTTTTGGGTTGGCTTCAACGGATTAATAGCATTTCCATTCATTTCTATGGGGAAATAAGAGTAGACACGTTTATTTATTATTAATGTATTGTATAAGTGTATTTTCGAGAGCTATGTAAGTGTGATCCATTATTTTTAGAATTATTATTATTTTTAATGGCAAGAGAAGCAGAAAAAACAGTAATGCGCCATTGACGGGGCGGAGTTGTAAACAGCTGGTGTAGGAGGGAGAGATTGGCGCATGCGCAGTTCAATACCGGCGACAGCTCGAGAAGGCCTCACGTATAAGGGGATTAACAGAACCCAATTTGACAGGTCGGTTTTTGTACATTTCCAGCTACTTGGGCTTTTAAAAGCGTTAAGGTGACCTGTTCGGAAGTACTGTATAAGGAGTCGTCGGCGTTTCCCAAAGTTGCGGGAAAATTGCGTTCCCCCTCGAGCGAACGTTGCATTTTTGAATTGGCGAACTAGCATGAGCTAACATAGCTTGGCTTCGTTTGTCGGTCCTGTTCGAGGGTCCCAAAGTTGTCTAGTGAGTTGTGAATACATTGGATTCAACGTCTCATCAAATGTTATAGTCATTCTGATTTTTTTTTTTTTTTACCGTGTCGCAGTGGTCAGCGCAGTTAATGCTAGTTGGGAATATCCCCCTCCTGCTTTCCCATTTGTTCAATTGACATTGCATTCATGGTTGAAGAGTCGTAGTTTTTAATGAATAAAAATGTGACTTGAACACACGAGAGTACCTCGTATGCTAAACGTAGAAACGGAACCTACGGCCAGCATTCGATGCAACCCTAAAAACTAATCAGATTGCAGAGGTGTTGATTTAAAAACAATCAAAAAAAACAAAAACAAAACAACACTAAAACTTGAGCCCATAATTGTACATAATGAACATTAACTTAACATGATCACAATCTCTCAGTAGGGGTAACCTCGGTCTTGCCCACGTACACTTTCTTTTCACTATAGGGTCATAGCTCAGGATCATCTTTTACAGACATTCAACTATTGGGCCTTTGCTGATTTGATGATAAGGGAGGAAACGTTCTCAAATTGGTTCAGATTTTCAGGGTGTGTGTGCACCGAGCGTTCGTGTGCTCCGAGGACATGCATATATGGAAATGGTGTTCCCATCCATGCTGTAAAATGAGCACACTGTCATCAATTCTGCCATCGATCATTACACAACCAATGGTTCAGTTCTGTCAAAAGTTGCATAAAAGTGAAGTGTCGTCGTGTGTTTTGTCAGGTGGCACAATGAGTCAGAGTAAGGACAACAATGCCCGACTGAAGAGCTACAAGAACAAGTCGCTTAACACCGATGAAATGAGGAGACGACGGGAAGAGGAGGGCTTGCAGCTCCGTAAGCAAAAGAAGGATGAACAGGTGAAAAGAAAAAAAATCAACAATTTACACAACAGAGCAAATTAATTTATTCACTAACTTTATTTTTTCAGCTGTTCAAAAGGAGAAATGTCGCAACGGTGGAAGATGACGGCAGTGCGCTGGACGATGATGGAATGGTTGACAGTGGCTACCTGGAGTCCCAGGCTAACAATGTGGACCTGCTCATGGTAAGGGGTATTAAAAAGGACATGGTGCCCTGCATTAGTTCAGGCAGGTGGTTAACGCAACTTATTTTATGTGCAGGGTGGCGTTATCTCTGAGGATATGACACAAATGATCTTCTCTACTACCCCTGAGCAGCAACTCATCGGTACCCAGCGATTTCGGAAACTCCTTTCGAAAGGTAATGGGCTGTACGTTGCGCTTTGGTCTCGAATACAGACAGCATAACCCAAATCTGTACACAAGTCTAAACGTGTCAAAGTCTTTTCACAATTTGTAATATCACTTTCAGGCAAGAAATATCAAACAGTCAAATGAAAAAAAAAAAAAACAATAATTAAGACAGTAATTTACTGAATATGCATTGCTGTGCCATGTTGGCTTGCTACACTGCAATGCAAAGTAGTTCATTGTACACCATGTGCACTTCAAAAATTGGGGGAGAAAATGAAACACACAACAAGAGACATCTCACATACATCAGCATTGGTCTCGTTACTGTCACTTTCGGAGCGTCAACCATCAAGCCTCTACTGCATGATGTAGCATGTAAATATGGTGCGGCTGTACTGTACATATGGACATCTGACGTTAGTCCAGTGACGATAGGATTAAAACATGCAAAACACGAAACTGCATTTGCAAAACTTGTCGGATTCACACACAGCAATGGCAATCTGAAAGGCTTTCAAAACCTTTTCAGGAGAGAAAGATAAACAAGAAATAAAATCCATGTTGCGCCAAGGGACAATATGCGTAATCCAGGGGTGCCCAATATATCGTTCGTGATCAACTGGTAGCTCGTGGACTCATCCACGCAAGTCCATCGCGAGGGCGGTAGAGGGGGGGAAAAAAAAGTTTATATTTATTTTATTTATTTATTTACGTCTCTGTGCATGTTAATATATTTTTGGGTGTTAATGCACACTGCACCCAAATCATTCTATCAGTCTCATTGACACAAAAAGTATTTGAAAAATAAAATAAAATAAAGCAGGTCACCTTTAAGCAATGGTGGCGCGTGACCTGCATCACCGGAAGTTGTTTGCGTTCTTAGCAGATCTTAGGTCAAAAAATGTTGGGCACCCTTGGCGTAATCTCACTTCGGGCACTCATTTTTTTTTTTCAATGATGTACACCTGATTAACGATTTTTTTTCAGCCAAGTACTTGCCCGAAACAGCACAAAACATTTTTGCATTGGGGGGGGAGAAAAACCTTAAAACATTTGAGTGCTGTGCCATCAGTGTCTGATTTATTTAATATTGAAATATTAAATATTTGTCGTGGTATCTCTTTAGCTATGTGGAAATAAAAAGAGACATCCATCCATTATCTGAACCGCTTTATCCTCACAAGGGTTGCTGGTGTGCTGGAGCCTTTTCTGGTTTACTGGTTGCCAGCCAGTCGCAGGGCACTCATAGACAAACAGCCATTCTCACTCTCAATCACACCTATGGACAATTTAATGTGTTCAATTAACCTACCATGCATGTTTTTGAAATGTGACAGGACACCGGAATTCTATCGTGATTTTGGAATACTAAGGTAAAGGCAAACGAAGCATTAATATGAAAGACATCTCCAACAATTTTAGGTATAAACTGGCGAAATATATGGACGCACCGCCAATATAATTCTGCCACACAGGTGTGACGTAAAGAAGTACAGTACCGTATTTTCCAGATGATAACTTTTTTTTTTTTCCCATAGTTTGGCCGGGGGCGCAATTTATACTCTGGAGCCATTTATATGTGAACTTATTCACACATTATTATTTCATTTCACATGTTATTTTCACATTAAACCACAAGAGGAAGCTCTCAGCCTGTATTGATACTTTCAACATTGGCGGTAACTGATAAAAACAACTGACAGTCTGACTTATGTGACGTAGAAGAGGAAGGTGCCGCATCTCCTTTCTCCGGAGTTCTTTAAGTGACACAGTCTCTCATCTCCTTTCTCCGGAGTTCTTTAAGTGACACAGTCGATGAAGATTTCATTGGATTTAGTGATTTGGAGTGACACTGATAGTTTGGTAAACTTGTTAGCATATTCTTTATACCATAGTTATCCGAATAAACTCTGAATATGTTACGTGAACATACCAGACACGTTCTCCGTTCATTGTGTATGCGTCATGTCAGATACAGTTATTCACCCTGTTGTTCTCTATTTTAATCTTATTCTCAATTTCCTTTCTGTCTGTTCTTGGTGTTAGATTTTATCAGATAAATTTCCCCCCAAAATGTGATTTATATGCCAGTGCGACTTCTATTCTTTTCTTCTTTATTATGCATTTTATGGCTGGTGCGATTTATAAAATACGTTATATACTGTACTGTAGAGACACAAACTAAAATTGAGATTATTACCCCTCCGTACATGTCATTTCATTTTATGAAACATATGTCAACATGGATTGTGCTTATTAGTCACCCACTCAATTGATACAGATGGATAAATACATAACACATGTATAAAATTAAAGTTTACCCGATCTCCAGTTAGAAACATAACACACATACCAACCGGTCGGAAAAGTAAGACAATGCCTACTTATGACATAATTTCTTTCAATATCAATAACGTTTAAGCACCAGCGGACATTTCCGCTCGGCGGCGTCTCATCATTAAACATCTTTTTGGCAGTATTTTGGTTCGAAATATATCGAAAATACATCCTCTTACTATTTGTAAGCTTGATAACTTTGCACAGATGCATTTTATTTGTAAAGGCTCAAGTATCTGCACACTATCGTGTCTGTGCCTGTGTGCGAGCACTCAAACTTCGGTGACACGTAAATCAAACTCAGCCCTTATAACAGGAGCACACATCTGACAGGGATCAGAAAGATGCCTCTGTGCTCCGACCTACCATGGCAGCCAAAACATCACAAAATATACAATACACTTTTTTACACACACACACACACACACACACACACACACACACACACACACACACACGGGAAGTTTTATTAACCATGTGAAGTGAAAAGGATCAAGCATGTTTGAAAGCTAAAAGTCAGCACGGGTGAAGGCTAGCAGGGTATTGTGAGCTTAGCGTTCTTCCCCTGCGCTCCGCTGTCAATAAAGTAATGACCATTTAAACTCCAGCCTTAGCGATGACAAAATGGCGCTTTGTCAAATCGCAATTTACCATTTCGGCCCAAAATGAAACGTATCCTCGAGTAATTTGAGTACCTCAGTTCAAAAAACAAACCAAAAAAAATCTTTTGAGGACTTTTTTTATCTGGAAGAGAGTCAAGCTAGCCCTAGCAACACCTGTTTAATACTGTGCATGATGCTAACAGGCAGTGAGAAGGCCAACTTCAGAATTAACCTTACTTCACGAAAGAAACCTTCGACACCAATACGTTAGCATGCTTTTATTTTAAAAGTTGTTCCCGCCCGCGTGGTTGCTGTCTTCACTCGTCTCCCCCGCTGTAGTTGAAGATTTAGCCACCAAAACCAACAGAACGTCCGCCTGAAATCATGTTCAATTGCTAATTAAGCGCCCGTTGCCAGCATTAATGTCCAGTAGCTAAGCAGGCACTCTTTGGCAAGAGCCGTTGAATTACTTTTCAAGGGGTCTTTAAAAGGCCAGAATTACTCTTCCCTTTTGCTAACAATTGGGCCAAGTTGTGGTTCTTACTCATCTTTATTTATTTATTTATTGAAACAAACCAGGCACAAATGTACTGTTAAAGCCAGCAAAATCACTTTTGCTGATTCTGACAATACGTTGTCCCATATTCACTTCACTCATGTTTCTTGAGAAGAATGTAAAGTGTGCCGCTATACACAATTTAAGTTCAAGTAAAAAATATTAATTATATTATAGTTATAGTATATTATAGTATCTCGCCAAAATGAAATTCAGTTGGTTATTGATTATTCACTGAGCTGTTATTCTCTCCTTAGGGGGTGTGATATGACTGAAGAATACAACACAAGCATTTCATAGAGGTCCATCGATTATGTATAATTTTTTTTTTTTTTTTTTACAATTGAAAGTAAGGACCCGGAGAAAAAAAGGCTGAATTTAGGTGATTTTATTCTATTGCGTAATACTTGATGTTTAATAAGAAGTCAATACAACTCTGCAAAAGTCAAATAAACTGGTCAATATAAGTATTAAAATAAATAAAAGGCTTTTTAAAACATAACGTGCTTAAGGTTGGGCGATGTGGCTGAAAAATGTTTCATAAAGTAAGTAATTCATAACAGTCACTAATATTAATTATTAATTTTTTTTAAACCTATTTGGAATTTTTATTTTATTTTTTTTTGTACATTGTAATTTAGTGTCATGTCAAAAATTGCTCTTCCACTCGTGCCTTTTTAAATGCTTATTTGCATTAGATGCTAGCCCAAAGCACCATAGTGAACTAATTATCTATTGCACTGCATGCATTAGCGGTCGGTCACCAACCATTTCAGCACTACCGGTACTTTATCTTTTTAGCGGACTCGTTTTTTGCCGTAATTCATTTACCTTTTACTTGCCTGACAGTGACTTCAGTGCGATGCCGTGGGTCTGACATGGCTAACAGTGATGTTGGCATGTCAAAGAAAAAGGAACTCCTTCACTTGTACACCACGTTTCTATCCTGGGGTGTTTAATCGGGTTATCATGCGCAATATACTCTTGTTAGATTATATTGTGTGTTGCACAATGCCGCGGTCGGCTTAACTTCAACTAATTATCAATAAATAAATTGCCACATCAGCCATGTTTTCTTCGATATTTTTTTTCATTGCAATCTCTTGCCACAGTATGTAAACTATAAACAGTACAAATCCAAGTGGCCTGCCTCAACGTCCATGGCAATGAACGTTCAGATTCCAGTTAATAGCAACAGGCGTCAATCATGTTAGTGAATCAGTTCATTGCCGCCCTGTCATCTACAGAGCCCAACCCGCCCATTGATGAAGTCATTGCCACACCGGGGGTGGTGGAGCGCTTTGTGGAGTTCCTGAAGAGGCGAGAAAACTGCACGTTGCAGGTACAGTATCATGTGACGGATGCCAGCTCCTCTGTTTTGTTTTGCTCTGTTGATCATCCCCCCACCCCAACCCTCACCTTGTCGTCATAGTTCGAGGCCGCGTGGGTGCTCACCAACATCGCATCGGGCACTTCCCATCAGACGCGGGTGGTAATCCAAGCTGGTGCTGTTCCCATTTTCATTGAGATGCTCAGCTCAGATTTTGAAGACGTACAAGAGCAGGTATGGGGGAAGCACTTTTGCCAACACCACTTTAATCGATTTTTTTGTTGACGTGTAAAAGTGACCTCGGTGTGCTTTTTGCAGGCTGTGTGGGCACTGGGCAATATCGCGGGCGACAGCACAGAATGCAGAGACTTTGTTGTTGACTGCAACATTCTGCCTTCATTGCTGCAGTGAGTAGCGACTAACAGTGTCGCTTTTGCTTTCTCACATAGATCCTATGACCTTATAACGCCTATTAACCCATCGTGCAGGTTACTGGCAAAACAGACTCGGCTAACAATGATGAGGAATGCAGTGTGGGCGCTCTCAAACCTGTGCAGGGGGAAGAATCCTCCTCCTGACTTCACAAAGGTGAAACACCTCCACAAACATCATACCAGGGGTGTCCAAACTTTTTTTTATGAAAATCGCTCGACAAGTGCTGAACACTTAAACACAGAATGTCAATCACTGATTTTTGAAACTGATAGTTTTAATTGAAGAAGACAACAGTCATCATATTACTTTTTGTTTAAATTGTCTGATACTTCTTATCATTTTTAAATTAAAATTAAAAATATATATTCATATCAATCTGTCTCTCCGTTTAGGCCATTAGTAGGCACATTGCGACAGAACACTGCATTATAATCACTGTTCGTACTCTGGCCAACTGGCCTGATTGTGAGAAATTTATTCCCCAGGTCTCATTTCCGAATGTTCTTGTAGGCAGAACACACTCCCACAAGGACGTTAAGTGTTTCCTCTTCAATATCACATTTTGGGCACGTTGCTACTTGCTACAGACGAACAAAACAACCATGTCCTGGAATAAATTTCAATCGCTGATGCAATGTGCTAAAAAAAACAACAAAAAAAAAAAACAACTTAATTACGCTCATACTGAGAGATGTCTGATTATTTTTCAAAGGCAGTTTATTCGACTGCATACTTTGATGTTGACAGCCTGACAAGGTTGCCGTTCCTACTGATCACCTTTAACAAACCAGACTCATGCAAATGTGCTGGTTCGTTTAGCCTGGGAATTCACTACTGTGGTTGTGACGTGAGCTGGTACATTGCAGCACTTAACTCATTACAACCCCTCGACGGCAGCTCAACAATAAAATGCAAAACAATTTGTTCCACCCTCATATATTTTCTATGTCTACAGCCTGTTATACAAATAATCCAATGTCTAACATGTTAGATAACACAGTTAGATCATGTGCAACTGAAGTACACTCTATATTCAAATTAAATCAATCCAAAGGAATTTTTTTCTCTCTGCACATCCACCGAGCACTCCCTTAAAAGCAGGAGACTTACAAGTTGAGGAGCTTGAGCCAAACAGTGAAAAAAAGAGAGCAACTTTTTAAACAGCCAAGATTGGTTAAAACGGTAAAAAAGAGGGCAACTTTAAATATTTTTATAGTGATTAGTGAGACTGTGTTATGGGAGCATTAAAAACATGGACATGCACAAATGCGGCTGGGGGGGATTTCAATATTTTTCGGACAATCAGTTTAACCTGTGTGGAAGTCGCACCAGGCATAAAATGCATAATAAACAAGAAAAAAAAAAGCATAAATCGCACTGGAATATAAATCGCAGTTTGGGGGGAAATTTATTTGATAAAATCCAACTTCAAGAACAGACATGTCATCTTGAAAGGCAAGAAAGAATAAAAATAGAGAACATCAGGCTGAGTAAGTGTTCGATATGCTAACGTTACATGACGCATAAACAAGGAACTGAGAACATGCCTGTTATGTTCACGTAACATATTAAGATTTTATTCTGATAACTATAGCATAAAGAACATGCTTAAAAGTTTACCAAACCATCAATGTCACTCTAAAACACTAAATCAAATGAAATCTTCATCCTCTGTGTCACCTTTAAAGAACTCCTCGAACTTTGGAGGTAGAAGATGCTGCACTTCCCCTTCTACGTCGCTTACGTCAGTTATCGTCAGTTGTTTTTATCTGCTGCTGCCAATGTGGAACGTCTCAACACATGTTTAGAGCGCCCTCTTGCGGTTTAGTGTGAAAATAACACTGCAATGACATCATAAGGTGTAAAAATTTCACAAGTCAAGTCGCTCCAGAGTATAAGGCTCACCCCCGGCCAAACTATGAAATAAACTGCGACTTAAAGACCGGCAAATACAGTTTACAATTTTTACGGTATGGTATTTTTCATTTTTCAAATCAAGAATAGTGTAATGTCTTTTAAATTTCACCAATTTTTTTGTACAAAATATAACATTTTTATTGAAGTGTATAGCATTTTACTAATTACTATCTTGTAACCATAAACTTTCCATTCTTCGTTAAAAAGAGTTTTATATTGAAACAACTCTTTCCTAAATCATCTTGTGGGGTAACATTAAGGTTGTTTATATTTTTTAATGAAAAATAGTGTGATTTTGTAACTTTACACCTCTCCCCCCCCCCTCAGAAGAAGCATTGCCAAAGTATTTTGTAAGTTGTGTATGTAAAAAAAAAAAAAAGCTTCAACCGACTGCAGAGCCTATTACAGTGCAAGCTTTTCTCATTATAAACACTCACATTCTGCTTGGCAACATACATTGGCGTGACATCCTGTCAAAATTCGTGCTTTCAAAATAAAACATAGTATTATAACAGTTCCACCACACTTTCTTTGGCCCAATAGCGTCTTATCGTGTCGTGCACAGGTCGAATGTGTGTAGTCAAATATACCCTCACTGGCCACTTTATTAGACACACCATGCTAGTAACGGGGTTAACTGCCTCAATTCTTCGTGGCATAGATTCAACAAGGTACTGGAAGCATTCCTCAGAGAGTTTGGTCCATATTGACATGATGGCATCACACAGTTAGCGCAGATTTGTCGGCTGCACATCCATGATGCGAATCTCCCGTTCCACCACATCCCAAAGATGCTCTATTGCAGGGGTCCCCAACCTTTTTTGCCCCACGGACCGGTTTATGTCAGACAAGATTATCACGGACCCGCATTTAAAGTGTGGTGGATAAATACTACAAAATAATATGGTAAGAGCTGCATGAACACTGTGGTGTTTTCTAGAGATAATAATAAACACGAGGAGCGTCTAATCTGCCCGCAACACTCTGATCGCTATGGTAATGTTTAATGCCTTCAAAATACGATACAACGCAAATTCAAAGTGCATGAAAATGTCAACTCACCACAATGCTGAATCAGTGCGAGCCCCGAGCTTGATTTTCTGCAACCGGGCGGTCCCATCTCGGGGTAATAGGAGACAATGACACCAGAAGTGTGTGCTTTACATCGAGTCTACTTCGTAATTTTGTTTTAGTCGCCGTTGCCGCACAAAGCCCCCGCCTCACACAGGTAGCATGTCGGAAATAGCAACAGTGCTATTGTGGCCATCTCAGAGTATTCAGCCATAACTTTAATCCAGTTGTCTCGAACGTACTTTTAAGGCCGGCGTCATTTGCGATCTCCAGCAGTTTTTTTACTCATTTTGAAAGCTCCGGCATTTTGTTTTTAGCGTAATCGGTCACGTGACGGAGAAGCGTGGCTTGACGTGTGTCAAGCGTGACACAGACGGATGTAACGGAGAATCCGGTAATTTTTCAAAATAAAACAT